TCCCATCGAGGGCAGCGACGCCGTTGTGGAACTCGTCGAAGAGACGAAGAAGATCTGGCGCCACCACGCCCCAGGCCGCCTGGTAGAACGCTGGGCCCAGGCCGTCCGGGCCAGGGGCGCTGGTGCGGTCCAGGGCGTGCACCGCCGCCTTGACCTCGGCCTGCTCAAAAGGGGCCACAAGAGCAGGCCCGTCTACAGAGGGGGCACCAGCGTAGAGGGCCCCCAGGTCGAAATGCCAGACGGGCTCCATGGACCGGCCTAGCAGCGTCATGTAGAAAGCACGCAGGGCCGCGGCCTTCCCTGCATGGTCTAGCACCGGCACCCCTTCGACTTCCAAGGCCGCAATGCGGTTGCGTCGTCGACGGTGCGAAGCAGAGGCATGAGCTGCTTGTCAATGACCTTGCTTGGCATGAGCTGCACCTCTCGGACCGCTCCTTCACATGGACAAATCGGCAGGATCCCCCCATCCTTGCCCGGCTTGATCGTGCGTTTTTTGACAATGCTTGGAATGACGTGTTCCCTGACTCCTCTCTCACCTCCCTCCCTCGCGTCACTTTTGATCATGTTCCCCTCCTGGTGACGGCCTCGACCAAAACCCCGAACCCCTCACGGTTCTTCTTTGAAACGAGCTGGCTCCAGGACCCCGCCTTCCTCCCTACCACTCTGCCATCCTGGTCTGCTCCGGTGCGTGCTACGGGTGCAGGTGGGATCCTCGCGGCTAGGAAGAAAGCATTCAGGTTTGCTGCCAAGGTTTGGAAAAAACAGCACCGGTTCATTCCCACTTTTGATAATGATTGTCGTTTCATTATTGACCTGTTTGACTTCCTAGAAGAAAACCGTGCTCTTTCCACAGATGAGAGCGCTCTCCGCCGCGACGCCCGCCTGGCTCTCGCCGCGTCCGTTCGCCGGCAGTGTGCGCACTGGCGGCAGCGTGGCAAACGTCGCGCGGTGTGTGAGGGGGACGAGAACACCAAGTTCTTCCACGCCTCTGCTTCGCACCGTCGACGAGTTTAGGCTCTAGGAAGTAATGTATGCCATAGTCTAGATTCTAGAATGATAATACATACAAGCTCAATGTCTTTGGCTGGAAACAGAAGTACCCACTGCATACACATGCAAAATCACACAATCACGCATGCACATACATAGCATAGTGTCGGTCTGTACCTTGGGATTGATACTGAAGAGAAGGATCCGTTGATGACGAGGTACTGCTTGGTGCTGTGGTCGCCGCCCCTTGCTTGCTTCTTCTAGTAGACCCGGGTGCAGGTCGGGAGTCGAGCCGCCCTGTCGTGATCACCCTTTGGCCTTTGCCCTCCACGGCTCCACGCTGCCGCGCCGCTGTGCCCTTACGGATGACGGGATGAGGCGAGATGAGGCTGGAGTCGAGCAGCGCGAGGAATGCGGCCGGGGTGAGGCGAGATGGGAGGGACCTGCCGAAGTGCGCCGCCGCTAGCTACGGAGGAAGGCGGGATGAGGCGTGCGGCGGCCTGGATCGATGGCGATGCGCCGCCGCAAAGGGGAACGGGCCGGTAGACGGGATAGGACCGAGAGGGTTACGAGAGGAGGGTGGATTTCTTAGGATTGTGTAGACGACTCGACGATTTAAAAGTACAGTTATTACTAAACCAAAAAAAAATAGAAACAAACAAAAGAACCCTTTCAAAAAAGACAAATAAGTGTAGTTGTAAAAGGAAGTGCAATTACATCATGCACAAAAAAGGGCGACGCAAGGCACCGGTCAAATTTTGCCTGGGCGTCGCGCGCCCGTCCGATTGGCCCTACACACACCGTTGTATTCCTCGCCCCTCTCCTTCCTCATACAACACTCATCCCCTCCCCTTTCATCAGGAAGAGCCCGGCAGCGAGCTCAGCTGACCAGACCATGGACACGCCGATCAACTCTTGAAGCACCGTCGGCTCACTACTACTTGTCGCGCTCGCCACGTCGTCGCCACCCTCGCAAAACTGGTCCATCGCACCCGTCTCTACCATGAGTGTTCGTCGACGATTGCAACGTGGGGGTTGCCTCGCTTCTTGCATGCCCCCTCCCTTGGTTCCAGTATGTCACGACACCAGTCCCAGCAACCACCGAGATGACAATTCCAGCTTGCCACGTTTTGCAGCTCCCAGGCGCGAACGTTGTAGCAAGCCAGGGCGTCGGTCCCAACAAAACATGGTGCCGATTCCATCAAAAGAATAAGGGCTCCAGTAGTAATAATCTGAACTCTACCCCTCGTCGGCGCCATAGAAAACCGCTTCGGTTGTAGCAAAACCAACTTCTGGTTCCAGCTCCGGCTTCAGTCGGTTGCAGCAAAAACGACGTCATGGTCACAATGGAAGCTCGCGTCCCTTATCCGCGGGTTGCAACAATTGCCATTCACGGTTCCAGCAAAAAAAAAAAATCTTTGGTTCCAACATACATGTTGCTCGGTTCCAGCACCATTGCATCCTGCGGTAGCCCTCGTCGCAGCTTCTGCTAGTGTCGGGCGTAGTTTTTCGATAGCAGGTTGCATGTTAAGTTGTGATCCAAATTCATATTGAGGCTAACTTTTGATGTAGCGGAGCGGAGGCTCGTCGTCAGAGAGGCTTGGGCACAATATCGCCCTAGGTCACCACTGCAATATATATTATTTGTAAGCCGTCACACGGGATAAGATCATCGTTGTAAATCCACGGTGTTTGTAACCTCTTTTTCCGATATAGTTAAGTTTCCTTGGCTCACGCTCGTGATTCCCCTTCTTATTAGCATTTGAGATCCTTTGCAGTACCGTATGGTGCTGTAGTGTGGATGACATGTGGGGCCAGGTCCCACATGGCAGTGACTGTACAACATCGTACAATATTGCAGAGGATCGTAACCCTCTTATTAGAGGGGTTTTCCACGTTAAAATTATTGTGTCATCTCTATTGATTTGGTCTTCCTTTTCCTGTGTGTCATATTCCTAACATTGCAGCTTTTCGACAACCAGTTGCACCATCAGGACATCGCCTTCGCCCGCCATAGCTTGTCACCGCCCTGTTTGTAGCTTTTCGGCACCAGGTTTCAGCACGGGTGACGATCGCCATTGTAGCACGCACGGCCGTGACTGCTTCGTTCAAGCATCGGTGGCGACGACACATCACGAGTTGTAGTCCCCATTGCAACTTTTTGTGCGTTGCTGGCCTCCCAGCCTCTATGACGACGCTCACCATGGCGGCACGCATGACAATGGTGGAGAAAAGGATAAGAAGAAGGGGGCGATTTCATCGGGTCCATGTGGAAGGACGTGGCTTTTGGATGCGAACGCGACGCCCATCATGAGCGGGTAGACCGGGAAACATTAATTTACCAACAAAAAATTGACTCAAACTCCACAAAATCGGCTGAACTTCAGCCGAAGTGATTAGAACACGATTATAATATAAACCTTCAAAAAGATTATCGGTCTTCCATGAGCAATATAACTTTTTTTTCCGTTAACTACATTAATACTCCCCTCTGTCGGATCTGCGCCGTCCACCTGCCATGTCGGTTCAATCGGCGGCCCAGATCAAGCTCCTCCCATCGATCAAAATCCCCATCATCTATCGCGTATACTTCCTCCATTCCATAATGTAATGCTTCCTCTATTCTCGTGTTTTAACTTTGACCATAAATTTAACTAGCAAGACCGATTGCAGCAGGAGCGAAAATTATATCAGTGAATTCGTATTTGAAAAAAGTTTTTAATTATATAATTTTTTCTCCCGCCGCAGTCGGTTTTATTGGTTAAATTTATGGTCAAAGTTAGACCTCAAAAAACGCGGGCATACTATATTTTAAAATGAAGGGAGTAATAAGTTCAACGAAAAGAGGAAAAATATCAATTGCATCAGATCGCGACGACCGATCAAAACCCTAGCTATCATGGCAACGGAGACGGAGCCCGCCGCGCCGCCGCGCTCCCTCCTCGGCCCTCCCATCATCCGCGGCGCGCGCCCGTCGCCCGGCCCCGCCATGCCGCACTCGCACCCCTCCGTCGGCGTCCTCGACGCGGCCGCCGACGCGCCGTCGGCCGCGGAGATCAAGGCGGAGCTGGAGCCGCGGAGGGCGCTCACGGAGAACGGCTCCGCCTCGTACGCCAACTCGGGCAGCCCCTGCCTGGGCGCACGACGCGCTCACGGCGCTCAAGCTCGCCTGCAACCTGCGCGGCGTCCGCGGCACCGGCAAGTCGGACAAGGAGGGCTTCTACGCCGCCGCGCTCTGGCTGCACCAGAACCACCCCCGCACGCTCGCCTGCAACGTCGCCGCGCTCGCCGAGTTCGGCTACCTCAAGGACTTGCCCGAGCTGCTCTTCCGCCTCATCCACGGCCCCGACGTGCGCAGGCTCGCCAGGGAGAGCGCCGCCGCCGAGAAGGCGGACGGGAAGGAGAAGGACCACGGCAAGCCTAGGCTGGCCGACCGCAAGCAAGCCCGCGTGCTGGCCCCTGTGCCGCCAAAGCCCATGTCCGGGGCCTATCTCTCCGCCGCCCTCGCCGGGTCCGGCAAGGGCAAACCCATGGAGGTGGAGGCCGCCCCTGTCCCGGTCCAGGAGCCGGCCGAGCAGAAGCCGAAGGTGGACTAGAAGAAGAAGAAGACGGCGGCAACTAAGCGGCGGCCGTCGAAGAAGGTCCGGAAGGTGGCCAAGCTCGCCGTGAAGTCGCTGGAGACGTACTACGGCGACCGTGCCTACCGCTTCCTGTTCGACGCTGTCGCTGACTTCTTCGCCGCCCTCCTTGCGACGGACCTCGAGCAGCTGGCCCTCGACGGCAAGAAGAGGAAGATCGGGCTCGCCGCCAAGTGGTGCCCCACGCCGGGCTCGTCGTTTGACCGCACAACGCTGCTCTGCGAGGCCATCGCACGCCGCCTCTTCCCGCGGGACTCGGACCCCGAGTACGCCGAGCTCTCCGACGAGCACTACACGTACCAAACCCTCCACCGCCTCCGCCGCGAGGTGCTCGTCCCTCTGCGCAAGGTCCTGGAGCTCCCTGAAGTGTACATGAGCGCACAGCGGTGGTCGGAGCTGCCCTACACCCGTGTTGCCTCGGTGGCCATGCGGCGCTACAAGGTCCTCTTCAAGAAGCACGACGAGGAGCGCTTCGACAAGTACCTGGAGGACGTGGAGGCCGGCAAGGCCAAGATCTCGGCGGGGGCGCTGCTGCCCCACGAGATCGCGGCGGCCGCCTACCGTGGCGAGGATGACGACGTGTCCGAGCTGCAGTGGCGCCGCATGGTGGACGACCTCCGCTCCAAGGGCTCGTTGTGCAATTGCATCTCAGTCTGCGACGTGTCCGGCAGCATGACCGGCACTCCCATGGAGGTGTGCATTGCGCTCGGCGTGCTCACGTCGGAGCTCAGCGAGGAGCCGTGGGCGGGCAAGGTGATCACCTTCAGCGAGAGGCCTGAGCTCCAGCTCATCAACGGCAAGACCCTCCGTGAGAAGATGAGGTTCGTGCAGCGTATGGAGTGGGACATGAACACCAACTTCCAAGCAGTGTTCGACCAGATCCTCCGCACGGCGGTGGAAGCCCGGCTGGCGCCAGAGAAGATGATCAGGACTGTGTTTGTGTACAGCGACATGGAGTTCGACGAGGCGTCGGGGCACGAGGATGACGACGACGATGACTACTCTGAGGACGACGATGAGGAGGACGAGGAGGAGGAAAGGCAGCGGTCGTGGAACACAGATTATAAGGTGATCTGCCAGAAGTTTAGGGACGCCGGGTACGGGGACGTGGTGCCGCAAATCATCTTCTGGAACCTGCGCGACTCCAAATCGACGCCGGTGACGTCGACGCAGCCCGGGGTGGCCATGGTGAGCGGCTTCTCCAAGAACTTCCTCAAGATCTTCCTGAAGAGGGACGGCGTGGTGAACCCCGAGGCCATTATGATGGAGGCCATCGCCGGCGACGAGTACCAGAAGCTGGCTGTGTTCGACTAGACCGATCGTCAAATTTTGCTCGCCTCTGTTTGCAAGCATTTAAATTTCTCGCCCTAACCAACTGTCACGCCTGGCAAAGCTAGATTTTAACGTGTTACCAAATGCACGGCCTCGCCAGGCAAGGCAAATTAAGGAGTACGCTAGCCTGAGGTTCGATAGAGGTGTGTTTGATTTTTAGAATTGTGGTGAACAGAGCCAGTTCGTTGTCTTTGATCATCTTCAGAATTCAAAATCAAATCGTGCCCTAAAGTTTGTTCTGGAACATGCTGCTTGAGTTGGTAATCATTCTTGGGTAGATTTATCCCATCTACTGATGAATCCTCCTTTGGAGTGCATGAATCGAATGGATCTCTGAAAATTCCGAACAGTATGCCGTCGTGGAGTTTGATTATATGGTGCTATGTGAATCCGTACCAAAACCATCCTTGTAATTGAATTGATTTCTGAATTCCGAAAAGGAAGGCCAGAAAATCAGTTTTACGGGAAAGAGTTTTTTTTGTTGAAGGGAGCCGTTAGAGTTGAGTAACTTCAACACCTCCTCGCTGAGAAAAGACATTCTACCATGCATGGTATATACCATGCATGTATCAGTCACCGGTTGTCTTTGACATTCGGATCCGTGCATGCATCTAGTCTTTGTGTTGCTTAGTTAACCTCAATTTATGATCCCTTGTTCTATTAATTTATGTCATATCAATCAATCACTATTTCTCCTGACAACTTTTCCCGTAGTTATTACCTGCAATATCTCTTCTCTCACTCACAAAGTAGAAACGAGCAGTACTACACTCACTCAGGGTTTTTTCATATGATTCTAAAATTTGAATTTATTTTATCTTTTGAACTGTAAGTTTGATTTATGATACATTTGCAAATTTATGTTCCTTGTGAAGAGAACATTGAAATAAGATCGCTCTTGAATATATTTTCACAAATTTTAAAATTCAAATATGAAACATGGAGCGACCTTACGAAACAGTAAAATACAACTGTATGTACCAAGTTTCATCGAGTTTTTTATAGATCAGTTTTGTATAAATTTTGTTTAAAATATATCATCAGTATAGGCACATTTGTCCAAATAGAATATAACACAAACTTTTATTTCAGAAGATATCAAGCATCCAAATCTTTAAATAGAAAGAGAAAATATATTTTTGGGATAGAGTTGCAAAAGGGAGAGGCATCCAAACAAAAGAACACTATTTAAAAAGGCTGACACATACAAACTGACCATGTGACAGAAAGATGGAGAAAAGTAAGACGTACATCAGGTTAGTACATTGTGATTTCTTTATGACCCTGAAATAATTAAGCGGCTGATCAATACACGGTATATACTGTGCATGGTAGAAAATGCACTCTTCCTCCTCGCTTCGTAAAGAAACTACTCCCTCTTTAATGATTCAAACGCTTTTATATTTTTTTTATAGAGGAAGTGTTTACGAGACGTTCCTCGGATATACCGGTCCTTAATCCATGGTGAAAAATCACAAAAAAATCTGCAGCCCGTGCAACTGCTCGGCATTGCGTTCTCAAATTCCATCCGAACCTTTCACACTGAGCTTGACAGCCATGTAAGTTCCAACCAAAAACGAGCGCAAGTTCACAACCCTCGGTAAGTCAGGAATGATAAAAACAAGTCCACAACCCTCGGTAACTAAGCCGGGCTCCGACGGTAACCCTCTGTCCGTTTTAAACGACACGGTCGAGCATGGACGCGGAAGGCTTTCAATGGGGGAAGGGAAAAGATCGAGTTGGAAATCCACGGAGACCACGGCCATGGAACGCTACTTCTCCACGGACGTGCTGGTGGACATCCTGCAGCGGCTCCCGCCGAGCAGCCGCCGCAGGGCGCGCCTCGTCTGCCGGGTCTGGCGCTACGTCGTCGACAAGCGCACCACTGAGATGCAGAGCCGCGCCAAGCCCCTCCTCTGGCACACGGGCAACGCCGTCGCCTACGTCGTCGACGACCCGTCCTCGGCGGCCGCCGCGTCGAGGAGCTGCAGGCAGCTGTGGAGGAGCGCCGCCAAAGGCCGCAACAGCGAAGCGGTGCAGCTGGTTGGCACGTGCAACGGCCTGCTCTGCTTGTGCGACGACGAGGAGCGCGCCGGCGGCGCCCTCACGGTCGTCAACCCGGCCACCGGCGCGAAGCTGCCCGTCCCGCCGCTGCCGTGCGCCGGGCCGCTCGTCGGGAGCCAGACCCAGACCGCGGAGAAGTGGAGCAAGACGGAGACATGGCACGAGGCGTACTGCTTCGCGTACCACCCGACGACGGGGAAGCACAAGGTGGTGCACGTCCCGTGCAGCTACGAACGGGTCTGCGAGTTCGACGCCGTCCATGTGCTCACGCTGGGGGAGGCGACGTGGCGGGAGGTGCCGGTTGGTCCGGGCGGCGCAAAGTGCAACCTCGCGGCCGGCATCGCCAGCGTCGACGGCAAGACATACTGGATCTGGGTCACGGCGAGCGGCGTCGCCAAGGTCGCGTCATTCGACCTCGAAGACGAGCACGTGGTCGTCTCCGCCACCCCGCGGCCGCCCGCGATGCCGCCCGGGCACAGCAGCTACCACCTGACGGAGGTGCGCGGGAGGCTGGGCTTTGTCACCCGTGGGCACGCCTCGGCCCAAGCGTGGGTCCTGGAGGAAGAAGGGCAGGGATGGAGTCGCCGGTACATCCTCGAGCAGCGTGTCCCGCTGCCGCACTTTGCGTACGCCGGCGAGTGCGTCCTCACGGTGCGCGACGGGGCGTCGTTTTACGCGCACCGGCGGAAAGATGCAGCGTCCTCGGGCAGGAGACTGCGTCGTGACGAAGACGACGGCGTCGTGCGCGTCGGGCACGAGGATGAGGGGAGACTTGTCGTGAACATGGGGGGCTACGTCGGAGACTACTACCGGACGTTTGCCTACGTCAAGACGATGGAGCCACTGCGAATTAGTTAGTTATAATTAATTAATTAATGTCTATTTTTTCTTTCGAGGGTGAAGGGAGTTTTATTGTATGATGATAGAGTTACAGTGTTGAAGCCACAAATCCTCAATACACGGTGATACTGAGCCCAAGCACACAACAGTAGTTCGCTCCGTGCGGTTATAATGAGCCAGTCGATGGCAACTCTATTCTGAGAGGGGTTAATCTTCAGAGGAAAAAACTCCCTAGTACCTAACAAATCCTTGATCTCCAACACAAGGTGGTCATAAGCTGATCTACACAGAGCATTATTGAAAAGACCGGACAAAGCCTTCAAGGAGTCCGACTGCACCACTACTGGAAGGTCCGAGTGTTGTATAGCTAAAGCCATGCCTTGCGTCAACGCATGTAGTTCCGCCTCCAGCGAATCGTTGCAGTGGAATATAAAACAATAAGCTGCGAAAAGGATTGTACCATCAGGGTTCCTTAGAACCATACCAGCTGCCGCAGAACCGTCATCTTGTTGGAAGGATCCATCCACCGAAAGCGCCGCCATCCCAGCTGCAGGCGCCGGCCATGGAGTTGTGGGGGGCCGGTCGACACTCGTGTTGGGTGTAGCCTCTAGGATAGGCATCTTGCCTTTTATAATCTCTTCAGTTGAGTACCTTCCAGCCAGTTTGATCGATTTATAGTAACTGTCCAAGTACTCAACATTGGAGAGAGCTGGCGTACTATCTTTTCCATGCATCAAATCATTGCGCATCTGCCAAATCCTCGACACCAACATAATTAGCATATCCCTGACATCTGCAGTGCACTTGCTCAACAAGGACAGTAGCCATTCCTTTCCAGAATCAAGAAGCATATCATCAGCTGGTAATGGCCATCGACGACGCATGTTCACCTAGAGGATTCTTGCATGCGTACATGCTACCAGCGCATGGTACGTGCTCTCTTCCTCAACACCACAAAGAGCGCATGTCGATCTCGTTGATAAGTGCCTAAACTGTTTGCACTTTTGTGTAGCTAGTGCACCTGTAACAATCCTCCAAGTGGTAATCTTCATTTTTTGTGATACATCAGATTTCCAGACGAAGTTCCACAAAGAGCGCTCCCCGTCCGGATTAGTACTGGATGAACTGTTGACAAAGACAATGTTGTGTTCCTGAGTTGCAATCCTGTAAGCACTCTTTACCGAAAACAGCCCGCTTTTTTCCGGGAACCGGGACAGAAAATCACCACGCTACCGGGGAGAAGTTCTGATTTTCAGAATATGCACCACATCCATAGGCCAGAAAAACTCATTCAGGTTGTCTACTCTCCAAGCACCGTTATCATCCAAGAATTCCCACACTCGATTTAGTCTGCAGTTCCCTTTAGGAGTAATTGGCCGGAACGAGTTAGGTCTCGGGATCCAAGGATACCTCCAGGTACATACCGAAGCACCATTTCCCACACGCCAAATTGCCCCTTTCTTAACCAGCTCAAGACCGTATAACATTCCCTTCCACACCTCTGAACCACTGTTTGGGAAGACAGTGTCCAATAACTGGCCATGTGGGTAATACTTAGCCTTTAATAATCTTGAGCACAAACTCTCGGGGGAATCCAGAAGCCTCCATGCTTGTTTGGCTAACATAGCTTGATTGTACGATCTCATGTCGCGGAAGCCCATACCCCCCATGGATTTAGGGAGCCTCAACTTATCCCAGCTCATCCATGCCATCTTCCTTTTTCCCTTCTCAACGCCCCACCAGTATTGGCGAATCATATGTGTAAGTTCATCGCAAACCGATGCAGGAAGCTTGAACACGCTCATCACATAAGTAGGAATGGTCTGGGCAACGGCCTTGATGAGAATCTCTTTATTGCCTGAGGACATATATTGCTCACTCCAATCCACAAGCTGTAGGACCTTGAAGTAGATGTGTCTAGAGGGGGGGGGGTGATTAGACACTTAATGCTAAAGTTACAGTTTTTTAAGCTTTTTCGGTTTAAGTGGAGTTTAGGCACAATTTCAACATTCACAATACATATCAAGCAAGCATGCAAAGAGTATATAGGCAGCGGAAAGTAAAGCATGCAACTTGCA